AGAGAATTAAATTTCTCTCTTTATTTAAAGTACACAATAATAAACTTACTTTTTTAATGATAACATTATCTTCAGATGACATTAACCATATTAATTTTGATTTATTTGGGAGGCTTTCAAAGTTTTTGTTAACCTTATTTAAGTAACTTATATAATCAGATCTTTTATTTTCTAAAACAGGACACTGAAGAAGAAAATGAATTTCATCCTCAACTTCAGTGTTGCATAATTTACATATTCTATCCTCCACCCGAAGCCCTGCATATCTGCCGCTTTCTATTTCCAATTTATGTGCACTGACTCTGAACTTAGTAAGCAGTCGCCTTTCATCCTCATTTAAAATTAATAAGTAATTTTCCATACAAATATTTTCTTTAAATAATCTGTAAGTTCGTAATTTATTTCCATGCTGTTTATTGTGTCTATCATTGACGAGTGACGAGGTTCATGACGTCAACACCAAGTGACATACATATAAAGATATAACTAAAGGCAACATATGACGAGGTTCCTGACGTCAGCACCAAGTGACATACATATATAAAGATATGACTAAAGTCAACATATGACGAGGTTCCTGCCGTCAACACCAAATGCCATACATATAAAGATATAACTAAAGGAAACATATGACGATCGAGGTTCCTTTCGTCAACACCAAGTGTCATACTTATAAAGATAAAACTAAAGGCAACATATATGATGAGGTTGCTGACGTCAACACCAAGTGACATACACATATAAAAATATGACTAAAGTCAACATATGACGAGGTTCCTGCCGTCAACACCAAATGCCACACATATAAAGATATAACTAAAGGAAACATATGACGAGGTTCCTTTCGTCAACACCAAGTGTCATACATATAAAGATATAACTAAAGGAAACATATGACGAGGTTCCTTTCGTCAACACCAAGTGTCATACATATAAAGATAAAACTAAAGGCAACATATGACGAGGTTCCTGACGTCAGCACCAAGTGACATACACATATAAAAATATGACTCAAGTCAACATATGACGAGGTTCCTGACGTCAGCACCAAGTGACATACACATATAAAAATATGACTAAAGTCAACATATGACGAGGTTCCTTACGTCAACACCAAGTGTCATACATATAAAGATAAAACTAAAGGCAACATATGACGAGGTTACTGACATGTGACAATTACATGAAAATATGGAGGGGTTAAACTATATAATTTTCAAACAATTACATTGCGGTAGCCTTCCTAAATGTCGACTCAGCACGAAAATCTTTCATATCAAGATGGATTCACCATCTGATTTCTTTTTATTTCAGAGCTACATATTTATATTTTGAAATGAGAACGCGTTTTCTGAAAACCCCATTTTTGGAACCGTTGTAATTATCTATTTTACACAATAACACGATAACAATATTAAGTTATTCAACTATATAAGACCATGAATGTGCTGTCTTTGAATTTATAATAAATAGAAGTTATTTGACAGCAACCTACTCAACGACACACGGTTTTTAAAAAATAGACAAGTGTGCTTATTGATTTGATTTATTTCAATAATAATTCAAATTGATTATGTAAGTGTTTTTTTCTGATTTGATTTTGTTTTTACGTTTTTAAAGATAAGTATCAAATGTAAACTATAAATGTCGCATTTCATTTGTATTTTGCACCGAGAGGATAATCCGTGGAAATAAGATATAAATCGTTTAACATTTAGGAAAATAATAAATAGATACATTGTATATCTACTGATCAATAACCATGTAAAAGTCGATACAATAAAATAAAAAATGAAATAAAAATATAATAAGCGCTTTCAATGAAAATATATGCATGAAATCTCAATAAATCTTTTGTGAAGGAGTTGTTGTTTTATTTTTCACCGCAGAAAGTACATTATTCTTACAGCTGATTCGACCGTAATGACGGTTTCCTCATTGTGTGTTTTATTTCATTTCTTATTTTTGAGCTCATAATAATATACACAATAAAGTTAGATAGACATCCAAGCACAGTAAAGATTTTTGCACCTTCAAGCACAAAGTTCCAAACGAGACTTCTCTGAAAGTCATTGCCTACCAGTATGTCTGTAAAGTGTGGCATGATCCAGGCTACAGCATGTTCAAACCTCATTACTAACAACCCAGACACGCGAACGTTATTATCAAATATGTCAGCAAATTCACCTGTAAGATAGGTCACGCAAAACCAAAAATAGACACTTACTTTTGGAACTTCAGTAACCAAGAATACGAGAAGAATGATGACAACCATCAGCATTGATCTCCTTTCTCGTCTCCTATGTGTTGACATCTGATTTCTAGATGCATTGCTTAATACTCTTCTGTATACGATAAAGATTGTTGACATCACCATGACTACAGAACAGAATGTCGACACAATGGTCTGAAGTATCAGGTAATACAAGGATGAGTATTGAAGTACACCTAAGGACTGAGTTAGCACTAAACACGATGAATACCAATCCTCAAACCCAAGGGAAAAATGCCTTGGAAGGCCACTTGCTATTGACAACAGGAAACTGATGAAACAACATACGTAAGCTTTCCTATTGGTCAAATGAATTTTTGTCCAGATCGGGAACAAAATAGCCAGTACCTTATATATTCCCAGGCAGGTCGTTATCAGGTATGAAGCGGTATGGAAAGTCATCGTCAGTATTGACAGATGTGAAGCTAGCATGCAATATGGGTACGGTAAAATACATTCCTGACCCTCCGTGTTACTGTAAGAAACACATGTACATACATACTTCGCCTGAAACAGTGGTTCTAAACCATAAGAGCAACATACTGTAAGAAAGTCAGCCAATCCTAATCCCTGCATGAGTACTGCGATTGGACATATCATTTTTTTACGAGCCAGTATTGCAATAACTAGCATGTTAAAGACCATTGCTACATACGAAAGTACTGAGCCTGCAATGAAGACACTCAATAAATCTTCTTCTTTATCCGTCGTAAATATATATTCCCAGTTGGAAGCCATAATAGGGTTAATTATGTTTTGCTACTCGATATGCTTCTCACAATTTTGTTCAATGTTCGTTGTCATTCATATGTTTTATTCCATTTCACCAATTCCTTTGACAATGTTAAAAGTGTATTTTATATAAGGAATTTTTCGCTCCAAAAAAAGTTTCATCTTACTCCGTCAAGATATATATGTTACTGTATGCACTTCGGTTAATATGTAACACATGAAATCCTCCTTAATTTATACTTCTACAACGAAATTAATAAATTAGTCTTTGGCAGACCAGTTTTGGATGTTTGTAATAATGTTTGTCCTTTTAAGCAAATGCCACGTTGTCCTTTCATATAATATTCTATGCAAAATATAATCTAGTAAATAACAAGATCAAATCAATTGTTAAAATCATGTACACATTTTGTGTTTTTCACAATTTCAAGCGGTATCAATTAGATGTAGATTAAAAATTCTAAAGATCTACTCCAAAATCTTCAACCCCAATCTTTATAATTTCGCAGTTATATCAAAACTTTGATTTTTCTACTGTTTATACTGTCGGTGATTTAGAGACAGTTTAATTTACGTCAGACGTTAACGCTTCTTTAAACGCCGTTTTCAATTTACCATTGTTAACGTGACTATATATATCTTTTGTTAACGTTGTTGTATTATTATGTAATAATTTAATTTTGGATGTAACGCGTCTTCTGATTGGCTGACGTTGTTTTGTTTATCAGCTCATAGACATAATTTTGTCATGTGACCGTAACGTAATCAACGTTTTTTCATGGTTTACTCCGGTTTAAAATGGAATTTAGAATTAAATTATAAGAAATGACTGTAATATTTTTTCTGTCTATTAGAAATAACATAAAAAATGTGGTGCACACTTTAAAATAACCCGCGTATATTCAGTGTGCACCACATTTTTTATGTTATTTCTTCATAGACAGAAAAAATATTACAGTCATTCCTTAAATACGTTATTATATTGAGTTGAGATTACACAGTCAAACGAAATAGACGTTGTTTACTGCCTGTCCATACTTAGAGTTTATCCATCCGTCACATTGGTGCCGTGACCAGGATATAATGACGAAAAAGAAGGCCATTAGAGTGGGCCATCGAGGAGCCGCAATAAAATTAATTTCCAAGGTAGAAGACGAGTTAGAAAAATCAACAACACACCGCGACGAAATCGAAAGTTTATGTGAGACTTTGAAGAAGAAAAGAGACATTCTTTAAAACTATAATAGACAGGATCTTCTTTTTATTAAGAATGATTGATTGTTGTCTTGAAATATGAAAATGGTTGATGTACACTTTTTGAGGGAGGCTGGGGGGTCTGGAAAAGTGTATGTTTTGTTCACTTTGGTAAATGGTTGACAATTATGGATGACCCCTAAGACTATCAAAAATCAACAACACAACGCGACGAAATTGAAAGTTTATGTGAGACTTTGAAGAAAAAAGAGACATTCTTTAAAACTTTAATAGACAGGATCTTCTTTTTATTAAGAATGATTGATTATTGTCTTGAAATCTGAAAATGGTTGATGTACACTTTTTGAGGGAGAGTGGGGGGTCTGAAAAAGTGTATGTTTTGTACACTTTGGCAAATGGTTGACAATTATGGATGACCCCAAAGACTATTAGTTTAAATCTCTTAAACCTTAGTTAATATAATAATCATCTGGTTAAAAAATAGTAAAACTTTTCTTGGATGATATTCGACAATTGACCTAAAGACCTTCATTGTATGGTTGGTATATTTTTGTAAATATTTCATCTGAAGTTATAAACAGTGTAAGATTTACAGAATCGTGAACTGTAGAAAGTTGAATATGATGCATAAAATACAGAGTAGATTTAGAGAAGTGCATTTTCCCACTCAATAAAAAAAAAGATTGTTAAAATGTTTGCAAATAGTTGAGAGAGTAAAGCTTCATTCTAACTTTGTCTGTAAATAGTATAAATATTAAAAAAAAATCAATTTTTGTTTCAGGAATGACTGATGATTTTTAAGATATTAAAGCAGAAGCTCAGCGATCAGAAGACACAGAAACAGCAATAAAAAGGAGTGTTAACAGTCTAGCTGGTACGATATGTCATATACTAGAATTTGATATAAGGCAGGTGTAGTCTGTGAAAAAGAATGAAGTCACATTATTTTGGTGATACTTTTATATGCTAAAAAAGGAAAATTGTGCAACTGTTGTTAAAAAAAGTTGATGATTTTGTATTCACTAGTATATTAATTTCATGTTGAAGTTTTTTTTTATTTTGCTTTTCTTTATACTGTTATAAGGACTTTGTGCTCTATTAATAAACAAAAATCATATTTTATTTATCTTTTGAATTGTGTCACAATTTGTCATGGTTGGAATAATTTTTTTTTTATTCAGTTTGTGAATTCTCTGAAATCTATAGAAGAATATATGCATGTCCAGAATCAAGAATCTTGTTTATTGATTTTGTCAATTGAGAATTGATTTCAATATATTCAGTGATCCTGGCAGAAATCAATCACAACTTATTTAGACTTATGGCAATGTAGATCTTGTCATATTTGATTAAATAAACGTATTATGTTTCATTGATGGAAATTTACATCATCTTTTAATCATACATATTACTGTTCCTTTATTGTCTGTTCAATATAACTGATCTTAGTAAAAACAAAAGGCAGGATGAGCAACTAGGCAAAAAAAAAAAAGGCAGGATGACCATTAATGTAAAAAAGGTCAGGATAAACTAATAAAAAAAAAGGCAGGACCGAATAGAGTGAAAAATAAAAAGGCAGGTCAGAGATTACAACTAATAAAAAATGCAGGACAAAATTTTTCATCCTAGCCCCCATCCCCCCCCCCCCATAAAAATAGAATGGTAGCTCCCTTAGAAGTCATTTTATTGGAAGGAACTATCTTAGCCTAGTAGAAGTTGTGAAAGTTGACAAGTCTATTATCTGGAAAATAGTTCTAAATAAAACTTTTCATATAAAATTATAAATGCAAATATAGTATAATTATGCCTTTATTTAAATTGTATTTTGGTTTTTGTTTTACAGAAACAGTGGAAGAAGATGGGTCTTCATTGAATACAACAAATTGTAACAATGTTGACAAGCTCGTCCACTTTAGCAATATAAGTAGAAGGCCAAGTACTTCTGCCAGTTTACCAGAAGCAAACTCAAATTCAGACTGTCAACTGCTTGGTAGCTATGGTGGACAAGACAATCTGACTACTTTATCAGGAAGGGTTACCATTGAGGATAGAAGTAAAAATTTAGAACCTGGCCAGAGTGGTGGAGTAAGTGATCACAGGAACCGAGATCAATGTTCTTCTCAATCTGTCAATAGTGTGCTTAGTAGGGCAGCTAATGAAGACACAGACCAAGCTACTCAAGAGGAAAATAGATCAGGGAAAGATGATGTAGACCCGGATGCAGAGGTTTACAATACAGCCACTGTAAGTGAACAAAAATATGAAAGCACTGAGAAGAAAGGAGTAGATGGAGGTTTTGTATCAGATGTTATCAAAGAGATCAGCGATTTTGGAAAAGACAGCATGGGTAAAAACTATGATATTGCTATGACACCTGAGAGCAACAATGAAGTCAAGATAAAAATGGGTCATGAAATAGGTAACACAGGAAGAAGTGTTGCCAAAGATATGACAAACGTTGCAATTCAGGGTTTTCGATCATAAACATAATATTATATGGTGATTTATTATCAAAAGTAATAAGTTCTATTGCATATTTTGGTATTAATATTGATTCACTCATAGGGTCTTTGCATCGGAAATAAACACATTTATTCTAAAACCAGTTGTTGGCATGATACGGGTTATGTTCTTCTCATATATTTTATGATGATATGATACTAAACCCCTAACGGGAGGGATTGTACTTGATTTTCATATGATGAAGACATAATCTTTCAATCAGTTTAATTGAGGTCTGGAGCTTGCATGTCAGTAACTGCTAGTAGTCCTTTGTTCATTCATGTATCATTGTCATTTTGCTTAGTTTCTTTTGTTACCTATTTTGAGATCGGACTCGGACTTCTTTTAAACTGAGTTTTACTGTGCGTATTGCTATGTGTTTCTTTATTCTACATTGGCTAGAGGTATAGGAGGAGGGTTGAGATCTCACAAAACTTGTTTAAACCCGCCGCATTTTTGCGCCTGTCCCAAGTCAGGAGCCTCTGGCATTTGTTAGTCTAGTATGTTTTTTAATTTTAGTTCATTTATATGTTTTGGAGTTTATTGTGACGTCCATTTTCACTGAACTAGCACACAATTTTATTTAGGGGCCAGCTGAGGACCACCTCCGGGTGCGGGGTTTTCTCGCTGCATTGAAGACCCATTGGTGGCCTTCGGCTGTTGTCTACTCTTTGGTCGGGTTGTTGTCTCTTTGACATATTCCCCATTTTCATTCTCAATTTTATTAACTTTTGGATATATTGTGTTTATTCTCATAAAAGATGTATCTGTTAGTGGTGATACAAATGTAGCAAAAAGCTGTTTCAAAGAATATGAATTAACACAAAACCATAAATCTGTTTTACTTAGAATGTTGAATAACTCTGTTTTACCAACATTTCATTAGTTTACTCCCAAAATTTGTTACAATCTGTTTATTGCGTTTAATATGAACTTGTAGTAGAGTAAAATTTTCTGATAATATTCATTTCTGTACCTATTAATGATCATTGATGTTTGCTATACACTTGATTTACATCCAAACATCCCTTTTACACCTGTTGGATGCACAAGCACTTGTCTCAGAAAAAAACCCCTCTATACCTTAATATAACACAAGGTACTTAACTCGCAATTTTGAAAAATGTCAGCCAGTCGCGAAATTCCGTTATATGCGATTTCTCTCGGTTGTCAACCCAACTAAAACTTGTTATGCCGTAAATCTAAATTGATTTTTCTGCACAATGGTGTATAACACGCCTACTTTTGTTGTCGGAATCATCCGTAGCAGACCTAACCAAGTATAATCGTAATTATTTTCTCTACCGACGCCAAATTGGAAACATAAAACTCGCAGTAAATGATTAATTATAAAAATTATTTAAAAAAATAAATGGGGAATGTGTCCATGGGACACAGATGATGCCCCCACTTGAATATAACGTTATAAAGGGACATAACTCAAGAACTGCAAAAGTGACACTACCCAAATTTGTACTTGATCTGAGTTTTGTGGTAATAAGTATTGTGAATAAGTTTCATAACATTTGGTTGAGGCAAACTGAAGTAAGAGAACGGAAACGAAAAATTCAGCAATTTTTCCATTTGTAAAGGAGCATAACTCTAGAACGGTAAAAGTGACGCCACCAAAATTCAAACTTGATCTGAGTTTTGTGGTAATAAGTATTGTGAATAAGTTTCATAACATTTGGTTGAGGCAAACTGAAGTTAGAGAACGGAAACCACAAATTCAGCAATTTTTCCATCCGTAGAGGGGCATAACTCTAGAACGGTAGAAATGACGCCACCAAAATTCAAACTTGATCCGTGTTTTGTGGTAACAAGCATTGTGTATAAGTTTCATAACATTTGGTAGAGGCAAACTAAAGTTAGAGAACGGAAACACAAAATTAAGCAATTTTTCCATTTGTAAAGAGGCATAGCTCCAGAACTGTAAAAGTGACGCCACTCAAATTCAAACTTGACCTGTGTTTTGTGTTATTAGAGGTTTCTCAACATCTTACGAACGAACGAAATTTGCCCTAACTTGACGTTACTTGCCGAAACGAGAAAAGAGGGAGCATTAATTTATTTGATAATAATTTAATTTTGAATGTAACGCGTCTTCTGATTGGCTGACAGTGTTTTGTCTATCAGCTCATATAGACATAATTTTGTCATATGACCGTGACGTCATCAACGTTTTTTCATGATTTCTCCGGCTTAAAATGGAATTTAGAATTAAATTATAAGGAATGACTGTAACATTTTTTTCTTTCTATACGAAGTAACATACACAATGTGGTGCACACTTTAAAATAACTCGCTACGCGGGTTATTCAGTGTGCACCACATGTTTTATGTTATTTCTTCAGAGACAGAAAAATATTACAGTCATTCCTTAAAATTGGATTATCGGCTATGCTCTTCTTCCCTTTGAAATGTCTATTACATAAACAATATATACATGCTGGATTTTTTAAGACCATTTTGAGTCGTAGACATATTAAATATATTGACTTGATATATATAATATATGATATACAATTTACGGTTCAATCAACACAGTTGAAAATCTTATTGATCAATAAATTATGGCGCAGAATATAAAATATTTAGACCAAGGAGAGCTATCTTTGATAAACATGACAACATCATTTCGAATTTTTTAGTACATATATGTGAAAAAGGGTAAATATAAAACTTTGGAATGGAAGGGGATAGGAATCTTATCAAGGATCAAATCAATGGTAGAAGGTCTTTCGCAAACAGGAGTTAACAAAAATCTAGGCGTGAACGCCTTAGTTTTTAATTTGAAGAAAAAACATCCTCGGATCCGGGGTAACTTCGTTGCCCCAACTCTAAAATCCAAATGATCACTTCTTCACCTTAAACATGTTAAATGATTATTACTGATTTATATTCTAGCTAAACTGGTAAACTTAAGAAGCTAACTAAAGGGAAACATTGAAATAAATATTTGAAAAAAAAAACAAAAAAGTTAAAACTTTAAAAAGATGTTCTGTAATTTATTTAGTTTTTTTTTGTTTGTTTTGTTTTCATGGCCGTTCTTATTCTTTTTGTGTATGTTTTATTATCGAACACATTTTAGTATATATATAATTAATTTTGTTTTCTTGTTTTCGTGGAGTTTTTTTGGCATGCTGTTTATATTTTCTTCTGTTTATATTTTCTCATTTGTCTTTTTACTTTGGAAATAGAATTTAAAAAAAAAATGTACCTTTAAAGATATGTAACTATCAGTTTTGTTGGTGCTGTAGCACTCGTACTTTCAACAAGATCGAGTGCACCTTTATATTTCTGTAACTTGTTCCCCATAAATAATTTTCTTTTGAATAAATAAATAGCGTTGTAAACGACATATTTATTCAAGATATTCTCGAACACAAAAATGACGCTCATGCATAACAGGAAGTCGGACCAATTGGACCTGACCCACCTTAAGACTTTCCTGTTGGATGCTTTATTCTAGGAGACAGCATTTCCAAACACTCCTCCTTTATTCGTTCCATATAAAGTATGTTTGGATAAAATAAATGATCAATACTAAACTTGTGTCATCTCAATCACTTTTCAATCCTTTATCAAACGCTAATCTCGTCGTGAAATGCATGGAATACTTGCCAACAACCAATCAATCAAATGCAAACCAGACGCGCCGATTGTTTTAACAACAACATTACAAAACAATACTCATTTTAAATTGATAAGAGAGATAAATCGAACGCATATACGATATGTAAACAAACGAAACTCAACATAAGAATACGTAACATTCAACAACAGAAAATGAATTAGAACACTGATGTTTAACCACAAAAATAAAATGCAAGGTTGCAAAAAGACTATGAAATTGTTTTAACTGTTCTCTTTAATCACACTGCAATATCGGTAGAAATGTATCGTGGATTTAAGTATTACAAAATTACTGCTCCTTAACGATACGTTCGTAGAGTTTCGTCCGTTCGTAAAATGTTGAGAAACCTCTATTAAGCATTGTGTATAAGTTTAATAACATTTGGTTGAGATATAAAGAGAGTGGGAAGATACCTTTTACTGCGAGTCGTATGTTTCCAATTTGGCGTCGGTAGACGAAATAATTACGATTGTCATACTTGGGTAGGTCTGCTACAGATGATTCCGACAACAAAAAGTAGGCGTGTTATACACCATTGTGTAGAAAAATCAATTTAGATTTACGGCATAACAAGTTTTAGTGGGGTTGACAACCGAGAAATCGGCATATAACGGAATTTCGAGACTGGCTGACATTTTTCAAAAATGCAAGTTAAGTACCTTGTGTTATATTAAGGTATATAGGGGAAAACAATTTCTGAGACAAGTGCCTGTGGCTGGATGGCCAAATGTCTGTCTCTATCCAACATACTCTAATAATTCATATT